CCCTTGCCCGCTGACCTGCGCCACCTGTGTCTGGGTCTCATCTGCTTTTGTACTCCCGGGAAGGAGAGCTAGACTTGGATTCTTTCCCACTTGAAAGCCCTCCCCCTCCAGCTTAGCACAGGGGTCCCCACGCTCCTGGCCTGGGGGTTGACGGGCCATCCCCACACAGGGCCAGGAGCGTGTGCGCAAGACATCCTTAGACCTGCGACGGGAGATCATCGAGGTGGGTGGGATCCAGAACCTCATCGAGCTGCGGAAAAAACGGAAGCAGAAGAAGCGGGCTGCCCTGGTCGCCCAGGAGCCACCTCCAGAGCCCGAGGAGATCGTAAGCTCCTGGGAGGACACCTGTGTGGGCAGGGGAGCCTGGGAGGGCCCGGATCACTGCGGGGCGGCCCTGGGTGATGGCATTTCCGCCCTCCAGACTGGCCCTGTGGAGGAGGAGACATTCCTGAAAGCTGCCGTGGAAGGGAAAATGAAGGTCATCGAGAAGTTTCTGGCCGATGGGGGCTCCCCGGACACCTGCGATCAGGTGATGCTCTCACCGACCCCTTCATCTGCGCCTGCCTCCCTTTCAGAGTGGCCGCCCCTCCCCTCCCTCTTGTGGGCCTATTTGAGAACAGGCATTGGGTGTCCTTTGGGAGGGGTGTCCTCAGAAGATTTGGGATGGTCTTTCTCACACAGGAATTTATCTAAATCCTTAGGCCCTTTTCAAGGTGGACCCCATCCAGAGTACCAACTGTCACGTGGTTCCTTAGGGAAGAAAGAGGAATGGGAGCAAATAAAAAGAATGCCTCTCCCTAGCGATGTGACCTGTAGTTAGGCCCCTCACCGCTCCATGCCTCAGTTTACTCCTCTGTAAAAGAGCCTGCTTCCCTCAGAGCACATTATAGGGATCAAATGGGATAATAGTGCTTAGATAAGCATTTACTGAATGAATGAAAAAAACATAAAACTCATGCGAGGATATATTTTTGTATTGTATATCATACTTCTTTTAATTTTTTATTTTATTGTGAGAAAATATATATAACATGGGCCATGCCATTTTAGCCATTTTAAGTGTACAATTTAGCAGCATAGATTGCATTTATAATGCTGTGCAACCATCAGCACTATTTTCAAAATGTTTCCACCACCTACCATACTTTTTTTGTTTCCTTGAAACAGCCTCTTTCTTACTTTAAGCAAATTAATGAACCTGCATTATTGTAGGCTTAGTCTACATGTCCTTTCTATTCTGTAGACTCCAGAGTCTTAATCCTCTTGTTCCATCTGAGTATCTCCTCCCTCAGAGCATCTCCTCCCTCAGGTATTGGGAGTACAAAAAAGGAAAAGATGAGGGTTGAGAGTAGATGTTTCAAGAGACCGAAGCAGAAAGCCAACTGCATTGGGACGGGAGGAAGTTCATCCTCTCCTTGACTCAGTAATCAGGTGCACCTGCCCATCCTGGCCCTGGGCTAGGCACTCCGGGGAAATAGAGCCGAGTAAGCCTCAGCTGGCCTTCAAACACTCTCTCACGCGGGAGGGTTGCCTGGGCGGGTTGCCTGGGCCCCTGGACAGTTCTGGCCTAGAGGTTTCAAGAAGATGATGGTACTGGAACTCCATCTTGAAGGAATAGCGAGGATTCATTAAGCACTCAAGGGAGTGAGGCAAAATGGGCACGCTGGCACAGGGAAGAGCCCGTGCGAAGGCCTGGCTTGATGTGCTGGGGGCAGTGAGAAGGACGGAGTCTGCAGGGCATAAGGGAGTCTGGATAGAGCATGAGGAGCTGGCAAACATGGACGATATGGGGACCCAACACAAGGGCCAGAATCTAGCTGGGGTAAGGCCTCAGCTTCAGCTTGTGTGGGAGACGGGCTCAGGCCTGGGCCAGACGTCAGGCCCTGACAGCCTCTGTGGGGACAGTTCCGCAGGACAGCACTACACCGAGCTTCCCTGGAGGGCCACATGGAGATCCTGGAGAAGCTGCTGGAGAGCGGGGCCACTGTGGACTTTCAGGATCGGGTGAGTGAGAGGGCAGCTATTGGGTGGGAGGCAGGAGGGGGGCCTAGACTCCCTCTCTGTGTGCCAACCTGGGACACAGACAGGCTGCCTCAGGGGCCAGGCCCCACCTTCAGTGGGTTGCATGACCTTGGGCAGGCCCCATCTCCTCCTCAGCAAATCTGTCTTGGACTAGATGGGTCCCAAGGGTTCTTATGTTCTGCTTGATCCATTGCCCAGGCACTGGAGTGCCCCATCCCTCCCTGTACCCTTCTCCTGGGTATCTCCCTGCCCTCTGGGCGGGGGCCCTTTCCCCCAGGGCACTTTCTTCTCTGAAGCTCTGCAGTTAGATCCCACCCTTCCCTTCTAGCTGGACTGCACAGCCATGCATTGGGCCTGCCGTGGGGGCCACTTGGAGGTAGTGAAACTCCTGCAAAGCCGAGGAGCAGACACTAATATGAGAGATAAGGTGAGGCAATAATACTCACAGATATTGGGGTGGCTGTGGGCGGGGAGTGCGAAGCAAAGGGCGGAAAAGCAGTGAACAAGTCTGGTTTCCAGAGTGGCTGCAGAGCCCAGGGATGGATCATTTCCATCAAATGAAGGCCCTTGGAAACCATCATCTGGGGACGGGAGCAGGAAGAGCAGAGGAGAGGGAGGGGGAAGAGATTCACTGTTCTGGGGACTTTGGGACCACCCAAAAGATACAGGATTTGTCCATCCATGCAATCCTTCATCATCCTTCTGTCTATCCACCTATCCATCCATCCATCCATTCATTCATTTATTCATCTACCTTTTTAAAATTTATTCTTTGTATGTGACCTTGAGTGAGTGATAATCTCTGAGCCTGTTGCTCATCTGTAAAATGTCTTGCAGAGTTCTTGTGTAGATGGGGAAATGAATATAAATTAATTATTTGTTAAACATGCATAATGTTTGATAAGCTTTTGCCATGCCCATCACATAGTCATCTCTCAATAAATGACATCTATTACAATTACTAAAAGAAGGGCAGAGGAGTGACCAGTTGCTCATAGCTGAGTAAGGGGGAAACCATGGAAGGCTTCCCAGAGAAGGTGGTATGTAAAGCTTCAGAGCTGGGCCATTGGGTAGGATGGTGAGAATTGTAGCATTCCCTGCCCCTCCAAGGCGCAGGCCCTGGCAAGAGGACCTGGGGGAGGAATAAGGCTGGAGTTAAGACAACCCCCTTCCCAAAGCCACACAGGCCAGGCCCCTTCAGCCAATGGCTCCTGCTTCCTCCCTACTTAGTTGCTGAGCACCCCCCTGCACGTGGCGGTTCGAACAGGGCACGTGGAGATCGTGGAGCACTTCCTGTCCCTGGGCCAGGACATCAATGCCAAAGACAGAGTGAGTGTCTGGGTTCTCTCCTGCCCAGCCCCACCATAGGGGTGCAGGCAGCCTGCGGGCTCCCACATGCCAATATGGGTTATGCTGAGTGTCACACTGGCTCTAGGAAGGGGACAGTGCCCTGCATGACGCCGTGAGGCTCAACCGCTACAAAATCATCAAACTGCTGCTCCTGCATGGGGCTGACATGATGACCAAGAACCTGGTAAGTTCACTCCTTTCCTGATTTAGTAATCAGTGTGCACGGCACACCCAGGCCCTGTGCTGGGCGGTCAGAGGAAACAGAACCGAACAAGACTCAGCCTGCCTGCGCTTGGAGCTCTCACAGCGGAGAGTCTCTGGGACCCTGGGGACTGCAGGCCCAGCCAGCTTCCCAAGTCTCTATGCTTGTCTATCTCCAGAGGGCAGGTGCAGAGAAACAGCTTGGAGGGAGTTAGGGGACTTCCCAAAGGCCCCCCCCCAATAGACCAAAGGGGGTCCTAATATTCCTCCCACCAGGGAGGCCCAAATCATGGAGGGTCAGAGCAGGAAGAACCTAAGCCCTTGGTTGGCGTGCCTGTTCCTGGCACACCATGCTGGTTCCTGGTGGTCCTTGAGTGCTCTTGGCATCCCATGTCCCCTAGTCCAAGCTCTTCTTTGGGATTCAGAGCAATCACAGAATGGAGGAGAATGCCCACCCCCTCCCCAATCAAGAAAGCTAAGGGGATACGGGAAAGCCAGGAAGATAGGGGGAGGGGGAGAACGAGGACATCTCAACCTCGGCATGATTGCCATTCGGGGCTCGGCTGCCTGTGCACTGCAGGATGCTTAAGCAGCATCCCTGACCGCTACTCAAGATGCCAGTAGTACCCACTCCCCACCTACTACCACCACCACCCCCAGTTGTGATGAGCAAAGGTCTCCAGGCACTGCCAACTGCTCCCTGCTGGGAACCACTGGTGTAGATGAGGGCACCTCCTGGTAGACTTCTGAACAGTGACCAGATCTCCTCTTGGTCCCCCAGGCAGGAAAGACTCCCACGGATCTGGTGAAGCTGTGGCAAGCCGACACCCGGAATGCTCTGGAGCACCCTGAGCCGGGGTCAGAGCAGAACGGGCTGGAGGGGGCTGCGGAGAGTGGGCGGGAGACCCCCCAGCCTGTGCCAGCCCAGTGAACGCCTGAACGGCCCCAGACCTGAGCCATTCCTCTGCGGAAGACCCAGGAGCACCCACAAGCTGCAGCAATAAAATGTCCTTTTGCTACGTGAGATGTTGTTTCCATCTGTGCCTGGGATATTTAGGAATGCAAGAATGGGCTGGGGGAGGGGGCTGTCTTAACTCCAGCCTTATCCCTTCCCCAAGTCCCCTGAGCCAGCCCTGCTGCGTTTCCTCCTCTCCTGGCTTTCACCCCGTCACCCCTCTTCCCAAGTCCCAGCGTGGATCAGCTTCACCATGCACTCGTCCTGGACCACCCCTCCTTGTGACTGCAGTCCCGTGGGGCTGTGTGTGGCCAGCACGGGCCTGTCAGGTGGCAGCCTTAACAGGAGGAGGAGTCTGGCTGGGAAGGGGGGCAGCCAAGGGGTTGTGGATCACCCAGATCTGCCACGCCTCCCACAGGGCTCAGCCAATCGGCTACTCCGACCAACACAGAACTGCCAAGCAAAAGGTGGCGGGGCTCCTGGCTTTGAGCTGGAAACTGTGGCAGGAGGACTCAGGCCCCACTAGAAACACCCTTTAGTGTCGGGACCCCAGGAACCAGTCCTCCATCTGGCGAGGGATATTGGGTTGTGGCCTTCCTCCAGGTGCTCCCCAGGAAGAGGAGCCGCCCCCCCCTCCCGGGGACCTATAGGCCTAGCCTTCGACCCTGGGGACACCCAGCCCAGCCTGCCCCAGGGCTGACAAGTCAGGGGCAGCAAATTTTTAACTAACACATTGATCATTAACAGGGGTCGGAAGGGGTCCAAACTCAGCCTCCCGTAGGGACAGAGACGAGCTGGGCCTCAGGCTTCCTGTGGAGATGCTGGGCCCCCGGGTCTGGTCCTCTGTGAGGCAGGGGTTGAGCAGGGGCTTCTCTAGGAATGTGGGGGGCCGGGCCTCAGGGGAGGGGAGGAAGGTGGACATCGCGGGCATCTATCCCCCTCTGACCACCCCCTTCACTGCCACCTCGGAGGTGGACTATGGGAAACTGGAGGAGAATCTGCAGAAACTGGGCGCCTTCCCCTTCAAAGGTAAGTGGGCCTGTCCACGGTGGGGCTCGGGGGAGATGTGAATGACCTGGGCTCTTCAGCCAGAAACCGGAGGGAGGCACCAGGTCTGTCCAGCTGCTCAGGGGCAGTGCAGTGCAGTGCCCTGGGCTCATTTCACTACGGGAGTGGCACAGAGTCAGGTGGGAAGCCCCCTGCCGGCCTGAGACCCCGACTGATTCCCTGCTGCCTCAGTTCCCACAGCTGTAAACTGCTAACGCGCCATCTTAGCTGTCAGCATTATTATGAGGATCAAACGAGATAATGGGTGTGAAAGTCCTTGTTAACCTGGCACCCTGTGCAGGTGTGAGGGCAGCCAGGTGTCCAGTGGCAGCCCAGCCAGCAGGCTCACCCCCCTCAAAGCCTTGTTTGCACTCTCTCTTCTGGGTAAAGCCTCCCTTGGCCAAATTAATTCCTGTTCTGGATTCTCTGACTCATTTCCCCTGTGCACATGGGTCTCCCCTCTCTGAGGCCAGGGACCAGATTATATTAGTGGCACTCGACATACAGCACAGCCACAAGCACAATAAATGAAGTTAGAAGTGGAAAAGTCCCTCCATCCTGCCCTGCCCACCCTCAACCATGACTCATGACAGTTCCCTGAGGCAGTCCGCTCAATAGCCCCATTTCACAGAGGGGAAGACGGGGCTCAGAACGACAGGGTCACTTGCCCAAAGTCACTTACCGGTACGTGGCTGAGCTGGGATTTGAACCCAGGTCCGACTGCACAGCCATGCTGAGTTGCACTCCACTGCACTGACTGCTGAGTTGCTAGGCCAGATGATTTCAGCAGAGTCTGGTCAGCACCGGCTTTGGGAATGAAGTGGCTCCGACTGAGGCGGTACGTGGAGCAATTAAGAACATGGACTCTAGTTTCAAATCACAGCTCTGCCTGATTTGAAACTAGAGTAGTGATTACACTATTACTGACGTAGCTGTGAGCTAGTCTGCCTAAACCTCAGTCCCCCATCTGACACATGGGAGTAATAATGCCCATCTCATAGGACGGTAGGGAGGAAAATCCGAGAGAATGCAAGTGAAAGCGTGCTGCAAGCGGCAGAGCGATGCATTGGAAGGTACTGAGCCCAAGGATAATGATTGTTAGGATGACAGCACGGTACTGTGGCCAAAGCCGCTTTGGGACAGGGACTGCTGGCCTGACGGAGACCCCATTCATGTCTCAGTCTGAGGTGATGGGATCCTTCCTTAGAGGACAGTGAATGCCCTGTGGACGCCCACTTTGAGCTGTGACACAAACACTAAGTAAATTTCTGCTGGGACTCGGGTCATGGGGGCTTGAAGGTCTGAGCTGAGGCCTGGTTCTCTTGAAGCAAAGTGAGAAGCTCCTTACATCCCTAAGAGGAGAGAAGCTTCTGCTTCACCTTCTAGGTTCAAGGACGCCTGAGCACAGGGGGTGGGGAGGGTGGACTTTGGGTCTGATGTCTCCCTACCACCCAGAGAATCACAGAGACCCCCAGGTTCTTTGAGCCCTCCCCCCGACTCCTGCAGAGGGCAGGGCAGTGCCCAGGAGCACAGGCTGCCGTGGACTTGGCAGGCATTAGTCCATCTCCCATGCAACCCACCCAGGAGCCTGCTCCCACCTCCCCTCTCTCTTCCCCCCAACACAAGATGGGAGGGGCAGCGGGCTGTGTGGGAAGAGCCAGCATCTGGAGTGAGGAGACGGGGTAAGCATCCTGGTTCCACCAGTTAACAGCGACCTGGGAGAGTTTCCTCATTTTAGATGGGAATTGAGCCACCGGGTTCAACGCGTTTCTCCCAAAGAGCTCAAACATGAGGCCCTAGCACAAGGAACGTAGAACCATAGGGTCCTGTCCCTGGTCCCAGGACACAGACAGACGCCCAGGAAGGGAGCAGTGGGCCACTTTCGCTGTGAAATCGGCGTTTCTCTTGCCTAATCCTGGCCCTGCTTTGCAGCTCAACGCTCAGGGGCAGAGGGGAGAACCGTCATTCTCATTGCCAGGCCCCCCTGCATCAAGATGAAGGCCCCCCGCAAAGCGGGAAGCCTGCCCTTAATGAATTGGTGAACAGCTAGAGATTGTTCTGGAAGGCATGGCCTGAAACCCTGTAGCTTTTTTTAAAAATATTTTTTAATTTTTCTATTACAGTTGACGTACAAATTATACTAGTTGCAGGTTTCAACTAGTGATTAAACACTCACATAACTTATGAAGTGATCATCCCGATAAATCTAATGCCATCTGATACCATACATCGTTATTATACTATGATGGACTAGTGTGGCTCTTTATTTTTATTTTTTCATTGTTAATTTGTACTGGCTATTTGAATAAAGAGTATTCTTTTTAAATACAAGTTACAACTAGAGACTGGAGGGTGGAGTTGTTGCTGAGGGGCCATTTGGTCCTGAACTCACTCCCACAAACCATCTCAGAGATGAACTTTGAATTGTTATTTCCAAACGAGGTCATTGGACGACCACAGAGCTACTCCAGCCAGACTGGGAGTTAGTGTTCCCATAGAACTTTAAGCTTGTGTCTTCTTCCCTCAGTATGTGGACTAGACCATGTTTTCTTGTGATAAGATAGAATATTTTTGTGTATATTAAAGCCATTACTGCATTAAATAAAATATTCTGTTTAAAATCTCACAATTTTTACAATCTTATTTTAACATTTCATTTTTTAAAAAATGTGTTAGCTGCCTCTGGGTGGAAAAATAGAGCGGCCCAGACCCGCTTGCACCCCGAGGCCCTGGATATAATTTGGGATGTGGGCCAGCCTGTCAGTTGTCTGTGCCTTTGGAGAGCCTGGTGGGCTGGCTCACCGGCTCACACCTGCACTGTGCCCATTTACGGGGTGGGTCGGGGGTGGTGATATATTCTGGGTTTGCAGGTGCATCACCAAGACAAGATATAGCAGCCGCATCCTGAAATGGCCCCAGGGATCTGGGACCCAGTGACTGCTCTTGTCCTATCTGCTCTGCCTTCTCAGCCCTGCTGTCTTCCCCTCCCCCATTTGTGACCTCATGTTATTCTAGAATGAGCTCCTTGCTGGACCCCTTTTCCTTCTGGACCCTGCTCCATAACGGGGCTGGAGGCTGCAAGTGGGGATGGAATGTGCTGGCAGCAGGTATGGGTCCTGGATAGAGAGAGATGCCGCCTCAGGTGGCCAGGAATGGATGCCAGCCTAACCAAGGGTGTCCTTCAACCACAAACAGCTTGATCTAGAACAGTGGTTCTCAACCTTCTGGCCCTTTAAATACAGTTCCTCATGTTGTGACCCAACCATAAAATTATTTTCGTTGCTACTTCATAACTGTCATGTTGCTACTGTTATGAATCGTAATGTAAATATCTGTTACGCAGGATGGTCTTAGGCGACCCCTGTGAAAGGGTCGTTCGACCGCCAAAGGGGTCACAACCCACAGGTTGAGAACCGCTGATCTAGAAGCCTCTGCCTGCTGGGAACCACTGGATAGCAAAGGAGAGAAACCAAAGGCTGGAAGATAAGAAGGACTGAGTTGCCGAATGGGTCACAAGCAGAAGACAGAAGGGACTCAGAGTTGGGGAAGCTGCCCTTCCGCTGACCTTGGGGATAGCCGTCAGGGTGGGAGACAGAACCTGGGCCTCAGACAATGCCTGCCGGGGTCGACATGAGGGATGCTGTAGCCTTCTCCCCCCGCCCCGCCCCTCCAACCAATGAACCTCATAATGGGGTTCATTGCTGAGGCGGGAGGGGTATCCTAGGAAGGGTGCAGCGGTGGGCCTGCCTGCCAGACACCCACAGGGAGCCTGCCCTTTCAAGCATGAAACATACCATCCGGGCTCCCCCCATCCCAGTGCACTCTTAGCTCTGCCTGCCTGGCTAGGGTCCTGGAGAACTTCTTGGAGCTCATCCAGCAACCATCATGCAAGGTGGTGCTGGGGACGGTCCTCTTAATCGGAGGTGGAAGCCTCATGATGTGGCTTCGGAAGAGGAGTAGGAGGAGGAAGATAGCCTCTGTGTCTCCACAAGAGGAGCATGAGCCACAAGAATGCCACAAAGCGCAGAATGAGAACTGGATCAAATCTCACTTTAGCCGCCTTTCCGACGAGAAGCTGGCCCCCGGCAGCGCCCTGGCCCCCGGCAGCACCCCCGCCCCCCAGCCTGAGACTGTCAACCGAGAGGCCAACACCACGGTTCGCATGGAGACCTCCGCCTCAAGGGAGTCCTTCCCCAACAAGCAGAAGGTGCCTGCGTACTCAGTGGTCAGAGAGACCCACAAGGAGTCCTCATCCACAGATGAGGCCACGTGGGCCGCCGTGGCTGCTAGTACTAAGGAGCTTGACACCAAGGGACGCCAACTGGCCAACTCCATGTTGCAGCGGGCCATGGTGTACCGGAACTCGGGCCACCTGGAGTCCAAGGACCTCAACCAAGAGGAGCTGAAGGCCCTCCAGGAGGTGGAGATAAAGCTGAAGGGCAATTTCCTCGCGCAGCGGGAAACCACTGTCGCTGGTATGAACCACACACACACCTTCCATGGCCATGGTCACCATGGCCACCAGGATCATCCAAGCCACCCAAACCACCACCAGAGCCACAGCCTGCCCAACCGCAGCCATCAGACCTATCAGCCCTTCGAAGCCATCTAACCACGGATGGAGAAGCCCCTTCCCCCAACAGGGCTGGCATACAATCACAGGCCTGTTTTCTCTCCCGTGGGACAGCCTTTGTGGCCCAGAGTGAATGCGGTCATCCCAACCCCTTCTTCCTCAGGTGGACCCCTTCGACTTCATGAGTGGAATCTGCCACAGAGGATGGGCCCTAATGGAGGAAGAGCGTGGAGGGAGCAAAGCAGCTGAAACAGACTCAGGTTCCTGTAGACCCACTGAGAGAAGACAGATGAGGCAGATCCCAGGAGCAGCTGAGAGCCACACTGATGCCACATGCCTGAGCCAATAAAGCCTTGTACCCCCTCACTCTGAGTCTGGGGGCTCTGTAGCCAGCCTCAGGGCTGGGCAGGAATGGGGGGTCCGTCTCCCACACCCCTTTTTGGTGTGGGCCTTGACCTGGGGCCTTTTTGCTGAGCTGATTTGAGACACCATAAATGGCTTCCCAGGTCTCAGGTTCTGGGGACGGGATATCTCCAGGAGGCTTCCCACCCACCAACCTGCTGTTGTCAGGGAAAGAGGAAGCAGCCAAGAATCGGGGGGAAGGAGGTGAGATAGACTTCTGGAAGCAAGTAAGTAAGCATGGTGGGCTGTAGCCCCTGCCTCTGGGTGCCACCCTCCGCCGGTCTATGGCCTCTCCAGTCACGTGGCAGCCCTGCTGCAGTCCTCCCTGCCCGCCTGCTCCCTGCACCCACAGGGATCCATGTAGTGCCCACCCCCCACCCACCAACACACCCTTAGAGCTACTGTGCTGTATATTCTCTCTCCTTGTTTACATTAGCGTTGCCGGGGCTGGGGTTGCTGCTGCTGCTAGTATTACTACTACCAACAGCTCTCTCTTTCTGAGGTTTCGTTTGTTTGTTTTTAGTGTATGCCCCGTTCTGGGTGGTTAATGGCACAGACCCACGAGGAAGAGATTACTTGCTCTCCATTTTGCAGACGAGCACCTGAGGCTCAGAGGTGTGATTCGCCTGAGACTGTGATGTCACTGGGGTTAGAGCCCTGCTTCAGCTAACCCTGAAGCCCAGACCAGACCCACTGCCCTGTTTGAAGGCCAGTCCCATGCCCACCGTCCCCAGAGGAGTCCAGAGTTAGAAGTTTTTGAATATTTTTGACATTACTAATAAGTGGCTTTATATATATATATATGCTGAGACACATTGAGTCTGAAATTGCACATCCAGCCAAGTAAGAAGGGGCTCCTGGGGCAGCAGTTCACAGATTTCAAAAGGCTCTATTGTACATTTTCTTCTTTGGGCCTTTAGGACAGCCCTGTAAGGTTAGGACTGAAATGATTTTATTGTCATCCCATAGAAAGGAAAGGGGGACTCAGAGGCGTGATGTGTCTGGTTCAATAGCCAGAGGTGACTTGGGTCCAGTGCTTCCTGACTCCACCACACGCCTCTCCCCAGCCTGGCATTTCTTCCCTCTTGGGAGTTAGGACTGGGTCAGATGCTCCCTTAAATGACACAAGGGAGAGGCCACTAGGAGCCCCCCTCCCCCGCCCCCCGAGTGCACAAATTTTTGTGCACCGGGCCTCTAGTATAATAATAAAAGAGTAATATGCTAATTAGACTGGACAGCCAGACGACCTTCTGGATGTAGCCGGGGCTGTGAGGGCCAGGACCCTTGCATGAATTTCGTGCATCAGGCCTCTAATGGATTATTTTAAATCAATTAAAATAATATATATTTTTTAATTGATTTCAGAGAGGAGGGGAAAGGGGGAGAGAGAAACATCGGTGATGTTGGCTGCCTCCTGCACACCCCCTACTGGGGATCGAGCCTGCGATCCAGGTATGTGCCCTGACCAGGAATCGAACTGTGACCTCCTGGTTAATAGGTCGATGCTCAACCACTTAGCCATGCCAAGCGGGCCACTAGGAGTGAGGGTCCTCTTTTACCCTCAGAGTGGGTCTCTCTGACCACTGCTGTTGAGGCAGGTCCACCAGTGAGGAACTGAGGAGCTGTTGAGGAACTGACCAGCAGAATGAAGGGGGACTTGGGAGTCAGTGGCTATGGCTGAAGAAGTAGCTGGAGAAAGACCCCACCTCGGCCCCCTTCGAGGAGGGGTGGCAGGCACGGTTGGGGAGGGAGATATTCTTCCATTTGAATAGAGGGAGTAGCCAAGACTTCATCTCTAAGTCTTTGCTCTCTAAATCAGAGGGTGCTGGTCCAATCCCGACTGGACTGGAGCCTTCCTCCAGGGTTGGCAGCTCTACAAATGGGGATGCCCCCCCGGGAAAGCGCGGGGCCTTGTGTAGCAAGAGGCTCCGACCATCGGCTTCCAGCCTGATGCGTAGGAGCAGCTCCTCAGGAGGCAACGCCACAGACGCCCAAAGCTGTTTGCCTCCAGATGGTCCCCGTAAGGTTAGCGAGGCAAAAACCTGAAAAGAAGAAGGCCGCTAAGGATCCAGTGAGCTAGCCTGGCAACTTGCGGAGTGGACTCTAACGGTGTAGCGCGCAGCAGGGAAAGGTTTGTGGTGTAACTGCCTCCACATCACGCTGTGTCCCTTGAAGGGTGGATGACTCACGGGAACACTCTCTCTTGGTCCCAGTGCCAGGAAACCCTGTCTTTCTCCAGGGCGGCCGCCTGGCTTTTATCGTGAGCTCTACATGCCTGTCAGCTGACCATGTTTCCCTTTTAGCCCTGACAGTCGGGAAGCCCCAAATCAAATGCATGACCCATCGCTCACAAGTGTGTGACAGGGGTTTGGAAATCAATATCGTTCCTGGCTTTGTTTTTTTTCCTTTCTCCCAAACACTTGTATTTACTAATAATCTTGTTGTATTTTATGCTGTGTTTGTCAACTATGGAAGAAAAATGTTTTTGGAATGGAATGGAGTAGAGAGGAGAAAGAAGAGGAAAGAGAAAGTTAAAAAAAAAAAGGGGGGGGCGGGGGAAGGAAATGGTTCTAGTAACATTCCTTTCAGATTTAGCTGAATAGCAGCAGTTCTGCTGGCCTCTGGTGGATGTAAAAGGGTGGACACCGTTAGCTGGAAATGTTAGAAACCATTCCAGTGATTGATAAAACAGGAACATGAAAAAGACAAGAATGAGATGTCACCTTTAACCTAGAAAATTGGCAAAAAATCGTGCTGACAGCCCCGTGTTGGCCTGGACGAGGACTGACAGACTCTTCTTTGTGCTGATGGGCGTGACCTGGATAATCAGAGAGCATGGCACGTGCAGGTGTGCAATTTGTTAATTACACACCTAAGTCGGTGTGTAATTAACTGTAGGGAATCCCTTAGACATGGGCACGGAAGACTTTCCAGAAAATGTTTGCTTTAGCTATGCTAGCAAAAATAAGGAAACGTTCTCAATGTCCAAAGGACCCTAGCCAGTTTGGCTCAGTGGATAGAGTGTCGGCTTGTGGACTGAGGGGTCGGTCCCAGGTTCTCTCTTTGTCTCTTCTCCACCTTTTCACTCTCTCTAAAAAAAAAAAATCAATGGAAAATATCCTCAGGTGAGGATTAACAAAATATTAAAATTAAAATTGAAAATGTCCTCAAAGGGAGAATGGAAAGTAAATTGTGGGCCCTGGCCAGGTAGCTCAGTTGGTAGGTAGCTCAGTTGGTTAGAGCATCATCCTGATATGCCAAGGTTGTGGGTTCAATTCCTGATCACATACAAGAATCAATCAATGAATGCATAAGTGAAACAACAAATCAATGTCTTTCTCTCTCTCAAAATCAATTTTTTAAAAAGTAAATTGTGGTCTAAGCACACAATAGAATATTATATGACTAGAGGCCTGGTGCATGGGATTCGGGCACTGGTGGGGGGCGTGGCCTGCGGGGATCGGCCGCTGTGGAAGCACCGCTCATCCCAGTCAGCGGAGCGGCTGTGGACCCCCCTCTGAGCGCGGCTGCTCCTGCTGTGGGCCTGGCACG